AACGAGCACATATAGGCGATCGGCGGGCTATGGACCCGCCGATCGCCTATATGTGAAACACCCGGTAACGGGTGTGTGCATTTAGCGGGTCTTTTCTGCCCGTGCGTGCCCGCTAGGGGGCGCGCGCGAGCAGAAAAAAATTGCCGTCTGGAGACGGCAACCCGCAGATGCTGCAGTGCCGTCCGTCCGTTTTTTTACTACGGGCGGACGGCAAGAGGTTAAAAAAGTATTTGGCCATTAACTTGCTCCAGTCACTGGTTTAAAAGCTCCGGACTCTTAATACCAGTTTGGAGCTTTCAACCCTCAATTTTGGGTAAACAAGAAGAAAAAATTGATTTTAACCCTTCTACACTCCAAACTACAGCAACGTTTTGACTGGAGAATGTTTTAAATAAATTTGTATTTTCTAGGGATGCACCGATACCGTAATCGTACTCGCCCAAATGCTCCTGATGCCCATCCCAATACTGGAACTTCTGGTATCGGGAAGCCGGGCGGCAAGTCATTACACGATTGGCCGGGAAGCTGGCTCTATGCTCTGCGTCAATATTGGTATTTGATACCGAACAACTGGTATTGGTGCATCACTAGTGGTTTCTGTATGATCCACTTCTACCAATGGTTTTCTCATTTGTTCCCCAACTGTACATTGACTGTTCTGTTTGCTTTTCCCGGAAAGGCGCTGGGTGTTTTGAGCCAAACAGACCGAGCCACTATCAAGAAGAAAATCAAAGAAATTAAGAAAGCACAAGAAAAACTGGAAAGACATAAAGAAAAAAGTTCAAAAAAAGAAGTCCTGAGAAAAGGTGGCAAAGCGGTCCCAACAGTGGAATCGAGCTGCTAAAACACTACACCCGAGACCTTCCAGCCCATGTGTTGTATATGTATATAGGTGTACAATTAAAATGAGATTATGGGAAATCTATAACATATTTAGATTATTTCTTAATGCCTACTAGCATCAAACAATGTACGTCACCTGACTGAGCATTTTATTTAGCATTTTTATTATAAAAAAAGAAAATAGCTCCTATATTTGTCATGAGTTCTTGAAGTGTCATTTTTTAGTGTACGAGGTTGTGGATATTTTAATGCTGAACTTTTTTCTGTCTCTCCAACAACCACTTCATAATATAGTTTGTTTGTGTTTAAACTTTCCGCGCACAGCCAGTAACATGCAGGCTTCCTGACTTCTTATAGGGAAAGATTATTCTCGTGTATAGTTTTCTACTTGCAGCACTGGCTAATTAAAGGGAAAGTCCAGATAAAAAAAACACTTTTCTAGGCCGGTATAATGGCTGTGCCGACCTGTACAATGGTTTACTGCGCACTTCTTGGCGGTGTCCCTGTGCTATGGCTGCTTTTGTTGAAGCATACAACACCACATTTGTGTGCCTGCAGTTTTTTGAGTCACAACCCCTCCTCTGGAAACATTCCAAGCGGCTGAGTGCCTGCCCTCAAGTACTTCCCTACCCTTCCCGGTATACTTCTAAAACTTCAACCCAGCTATTTTCTCAGCACCAGCCAGCTCTACGCTGGGCGACAGGTTTATATAAAGCCACTGGTGTGTAAAATATGAGGCAGCATGAGCTGGTGGTTGTGAAGCACGCACTGCTACTCAGATAACCTGCCCCTGCTGGTCACCCTCCATTGCATCATCCCTAGTTGATGAGAATGAACTGCCTCAGTTCTTTGTCAGCCCGGTGCCGCAAAACTATCAGTTGTTTTATATTACGATCTAGAGCTGCTAACTGTAACTGAATGACATGAACTTTGCTCCCAGATAAGTGACCAACAATCCGCTTGTGACGGAAAGTATTTGTGTGTGCTGGTGGGATGTTGTAAATGGACTTGGGGAGTCTTTGAGGATGAATAGGGGGTGTCCTGTATGAGAGTTAGAAACCTTTGAGCGTGTATAGAATGTTCGCTGTTTATAGATTCTTTTGTTGAGACTGAACACATTTTCCATGACCTGCATCCTCTTTTCTCGTGTATGCACTTGCTGAATCTTAATATGAACTTCCTCATTTCAGGAGAGTATTGGCAAGCCAATTGTTGGACACTGACGTGTATATGATGTTCAATAATGGTACTTAAGCTGTGGTACCCCAGACCAGTCCGTTGTGTATTTTTGTTACTAATCTTTTGGATTATGATGATCAGGATGTGGTGGGGTTTTTCTTTCTTCATCTTATGTAATACACTGTTCTAGTACTGACACACTGCAGATATTAGGAGTCATTAGTCCAGTGACACAGATTGCGTATTTAAAGGAATTTTCCATCAGCTGACTTTTTTTTTGTCTCTGAGAAGTTGTAAAAGTTTTACAACGATTTTACGGTACAGAAGTAACGTCCGCTCATCTTTGTCTTGTGAGGGTCTAACCCATGGTGAGACACAGGGACGCCAGGCTTTATCTGACCAGGGACAGGGGAGATGATTGAAACATTGCTACATGGAGAGTCCCTTTAAGTAGTTATAAAAGTTGTGGGATGAATGAGCGCACATGATGTCATTTTTTGGTCACACTGTACTCTGCGGTGATGTTTATCCTCTAGTTGGAATAGAAAAGAATCACCGGGGTAGGTCTATCTTTGCTGAGATGGCACAGTGTGAGAATTGTTGTCTATAGCGTATTGAAACAATGTGAAAGCTTCTCTACCGGGGGAAAAAAACAAAACCAAACCAGGGCTACCGTCTCATTGTTGTCTAGGGGTATTGTGTGACTTACCTGATCCCCGCTCCTGCAAGCTCCAAGACTGCAGCCTCTTACCCCCTCTGCTCTGGCAGTCAGAGGCCCACTGATGTCATCACATACAATGGAGGGCCCATAGTCCAGCATTATACGTAAGAATGGGTCCTTCCACAAGCCCAGAGATGAGGGGAGACAGGTGAGTGACAAGTGCTGGGAGCGGGGATCAGGTAAGTAAGACAGTTGCACAATACCCCCCGATAAAACAAGCAGTTAATCCTTGCAGTGTGGGGGTAGCCTACTTCAAGGGTAGTTCCTCCCGGAGAAATGGGTTTCAGAGTTGAAGCCGTCCTGTTAGTTTTTTTTTGTTTGGCTGCCTGCAGTGTGTCAGATGTAAAGAGTTGTCTTCAGAATGCACATCTCCCACCTTCCTTTACCATGTGTATTCACTAACCACTACAGAACTTTCACACTGTGTTCCTAGAAACATTTGTCTGCTGGGTGCAGAATGATGTCATAGCCGAGACAACTTTTTATGAAGAATACAGTTTTTGTATTTTATTGGAAATGTTTTTGTAAAGGGGATAGTATAGACTTTCTATGGAAATAGTGTTGGGGACCTAATAATTGAAGAGGGGGGAGGTAGGTAGGTATGCACACATCACCAAGCTCTGGATCTTTCATGAATCACTTGTCACAGGAGAACGCTGTAGGTTGCCATTGAAGATGCAGTTTTTCTGGCTGTTAAATTGTTAATGCTGCATTATCGATATGAGTCACTGAACTGCATAAGAAACTTTCACTCTTCTCAATCATTTGCCGGGTGCTAGTTTCAGAGCTGTCATTCGGAAGTATTCAAACTAAGCACAGCCAGTGGTTTCAGGAGGCCAAGAATGGCAGCCCCCATAGTTCTCTCATGAATGGTACTTTTTGTACCTGATTCTTTCAGACCAGAGCTTCTTCACGCCGCTGCTCCAGGTTGTCTTCCTTCTGCACAATCATTTATCCCGGGGAAGGCAAACAAATCCCACCATACATCTGCTTCTGGGAGCCATGGCTGAGGCAATGCCTGACATCCAGACACTACTCCCATCATGCCTCATGGGGGTTGTAGTAGTATCACAGCTGGAAGGACAGATTTTACTCACCCCTGGTTTGTAGCGGAAATATGGGGACGCCCACTCCTGAAATGCCAGCTGCTTGGCTGTTCTGCTGATGATACGGCTTTAATAGATTTGGAGTTGCTGACCTAAGATAAGTATGGAGGTCCCCTGGAGGCTGAAGTAGTCATCTGAATGCTTGTTTTGGGTCACTGACTAAATGTATTAGACCAGCAGAGTCCGTGTGACACCCAGGCACCTGGCATTTTCAGAAGAATGGGTTAATAATGGCAAGCCAGTTTTTACTCTGACAAGTTTGCCTGAATCGGAGTTACTGCCTCAGATATTCCCGCAGCTGTGCTCACAAATGGTGAAAACCGGACCTGTTGGGGTATTTGGAGCGGAGACGCACTGGCCTATAGAACTTGGAGGCAGCCATTTTGTGGCTTGAAGCATCACTGCATCCATGTAATTTCTCTAGAACAGAGGTAGGCAACCTCTGCACTCCAGCTGCGGTGAAACTACAAATCCAATTATGCCTCTGTGGCTGTCTGACTATTGCAATGCCTCATGGGGATGTGTAGTTCCATAATATCTGGAGTGCTGAGGTTGCCTCCCCCTCCTGTAGAACAGGGTCACATTACGGATATGAAGCACAAAGCTTTGTAACATTGTTTTCTAGTCAGTGCTGAATGCTGATGATTCAGTCAGACACAATATGGCTCCTCTTGGGGCCCAATCACGCCGCTATGTCAGATGCAGTACAAAGTACACCGCAGCCTGGGTTTGATGTCATCAGTGGAGAATGGGTGTGGCCTAACTGACATCCAATCAGGCTGCGGTACATTTCCAGGACTTGGGTGAGAGGAAAGAACTACATCTCTCTATCAGCTTCTTACGTTACCCTCCTCACATGTGCTTTTTATAATATTTGTTCATTGAATTGTCTGTGGACCATTTCTTCCAATTTCTCATGTTTTTCCACTAAATGTAGAAGATTAAACAAATCTTGGAAACATTTTTGTAAAACAAAGTGTTTTATATAATAAAACTGACCCTTTTCTGAGGTGTTTGTTGTTGGATTTTGTTCCGGTGAAAACTGAGTAAAAGAAATGTCAGCAGAATTAACCCCGTGACCTTTGTTCCCCCTCATCACCAGGTGACCGGCCCAAGAAATCTGCTTATTTTCAACTTTAACTATTAATATGAGCCGGCTATTGTAAGCACCCGTCACTAAGGTCTCGTTCACACCTAGGCGTATTGCATATGCGCGACCGCCGCGCGTTTTTTTACCGCGATTTGCGGTAAAAAAGTTGCGCGTTTCCGAAGGCTACTTGGCTGTATCCCAATGGAAACGCGCAACAAAACGGCCCAAAGTAGTACCTGTACCTTTTCTGGCGTGGGCCGTTTTGTAGCGCGTTAGAGACGGGCGGAAATACGCCAAGGTGGGAACGAGACCATTGAATACAATGGGATTTATATTTTTGAGCGTTTTGTAGGGCATTCGTCGAGCGTAGAACGCGCTACAAAACGTTAAGGTGTGAACGAGGGCTAATAGGCCAAGCTGTCCCACAAAAGTGTCACTAAACTCAGGAGGTAAATCTTACAGATTCCAGTCCCCTGAACTATTAACACAAATGTATCTGTAGCTGTAGATCCGCAAATCATCTCTGAATTGGTGCTGACACTGTCCTTCCTTCTGGAGGGGGGCTACTTTTGTTCCCCATGGTTCCTGTGTGTGTTGTAAAGTAATCACCGCTCCAAGCTCACTCCCGGGATGGACTACAATCTCAGGTTTAGTTAGCTAATATGTATGGAAATAGTTTCTTTTCCTTTGTCCCAGTGTTATAGCCCATTCAAAACAAATGGACCGAACCCATGCTGAAGTGTGACAATGCAATAACACACCATGCACTAGAACAGCAAAGTGTAACTAGATTCTAATCTCTTCCCGTCCTATCCAAAACTAAAAGATAAATACCTGAAATATATCATAGGGGTGTCAGACTTCCTCCGCTCTAGTAATGTATATTGAAGCTCTGAATTCCCATAGTCAGGATGTATTCCTATAACGTAACCGACATTCACTTTATTACCATCAATCCAAATATATAACTCACCGTATAAAAATACATTGGGGGGGATTTGCTGAGACTGGAGCAGCTGTGTATGGCAACCAAACGGTTTCTCTTTCATTTTCAAAACTGAACAAGCTCACAAGAGACGCTGACTGGTTACTATGCACATCTTGCTCCAGCTTCTGTCTGCTCGTTTTAGTAATTTCACCTTATTAAATTCCTAGTAAATGGACTCTGGGGCTAGGAACAAAATCCAGGTCACACTGGAAATGTATAGTGATCACATTTATTTCAATGTATTTTTAATTTTAGAATCCTACAACATCCCCCTATTGAGACAAATCCGATTTGCTGACTTGGCAATCTACATCACATTTGATCAATAAATCTTATCCATGAATTTAATGTTACCCCTAGCAACCAGATTGCACAGATCCCCCCCGGCCAGAGCGGACATTAGGAACACACCATCTTC